AATAATGGGACAAAATACTAAATGTGAAGCTATAAAAATTCTTCTTCTATTTTCTTAAAGTCTATTTTCAAAAAAACATTGAAATTMATGAGGCAAAATTTTTATATCAGAAAATTTTCTTGTATTGATAAAGTTATTAATATGGATTTCTTATCACATAATATCCATGCATACATTTTACCTACACATCTGAAATCACTGCAACACATTCTTACTCCATTTCTCCCTTCTAAGGATCAGATTGTGCTACRAGCAGACATGCTGTTGAAGCCCAGTGAGGGAACACTAGGGGGTGCATGGMACATTCTGAGAGGCAGACTCAGAGCACCCTGTCCCACACCCTGTCCTTGGTGATTCCTGACCCTGGGRTTACTGTGAGAATTACCAGAACACCTAAATCTCAATAGATCTCATCTCTCACCTAATGTGCACAGAGACACAATGGAAGGAAGACTAAGGGAGAGTAAAAACAGTCTGAGAATACAAACATTTTTTTAAGAAGAAATGATAGAAAAGATGGAATTAAGCTTCTTACAATATTTGTGCTAAATAGTTAATACAGATCATTTCCTTAAATCCTCAAAAGAGCAGTGTAGAGTCCCACTGCAGGGTCCCATCAGATCGCATGCTGGGAAATGAAACTATCTTGACTTYACAACAGATGTTTGTGGGGTGGAAACTTGAATAAATAATGAATTGATGAAGAGGAGGGAAAGTAGCACCTTTTCTATATGGTTTTATAGATTTCTATTTTTCAAACCTGCCRGCAATTGCAGTCGAGTTCCTTCCTAGAGTTACCAGATCATGATTTCTCTGAGTCATGATTGATTAGGGACAGCCCAATTGCTAAGTGTATGTATGTATGTATATATATATACATACACACTCTAGTGCTTATATACATGGAATATTGAATAATTAACATCAAAGTGTTTGATTTTTTGGTTATGATATTTAAAAATTAAGGTCAGGATTCTTACCTGAGTTCTGACTCAAGAGGAAATCACAGAGACAGATATGATGACAGAACAYAGCAGCCATGTCTTCATAGCTCCAAAGCAATATTTCAAAGTGCGAAATTGCAGAGGGAAGGGGTGTACCAGCCCTCCCCCAAACCCAGATGAACCCTTGCATACCAGTGATTCWTTCCACATACTCAATCTGCTCAGCTTATGTGGTGCAGGATACCCTAGAATTGCTCATAACTGCGGCAGATCACAAAGAACCCAGGAAATCACCTGACCCTCCACTTCTCTGAGACACCAGAACAGCCACACCCTCCTCCACTGACCTGAGACCTCAGCTCTCAGGACCTTYACTTTCTCACTTTCTCCCTGGGCAGCTACCTAGCAGAGGGGAGGGATGCCACTCCTGAAAGCAGTCATCCTGTTTTCCATCAGGGCTTCTGAGCTTCCCCCCCATCATGACAGTCTGCAGAAGAGAATGAAGTCATTCTTTTTTTGTAGCTTCTTCATGTATTATTTGTTCATGGAGACTCTCTCTTTTTTGCTTGCACTTGGACTAGAGCAACTGGAGCAACCTGAAATATTAATTTCCAGAGCAACAGATAAGAATGCTTACATATCTTGTCAGGTGTTGTTCCCAAATAGTTTCAGACCAACCTTATACTGCTACCCACAGAAACCAAATCAAGGTCTGTAGCATGTATTATATGTCTGGACAACTACTCAAAAGGATTTAGATGGGRAGAACAAATTCAGAGCCAGCAAAAATACATGCACTAATACTGCAACCTTKGCAATTTCTTAGAGAAAGAAGATGAGGCCATGTACTACTGTACTTGCTGGATAAGGACAAAATCAGAGTTCCCAGGATAACTTAGACAAGAACTACTTCTAGGTCTGTGCCCATTCACCTTCTTCTCATATGTGCAGCCACAGTGGCTGCTGAGCGGGGTATCCACCCTGAGACTCCCTTCTTTACAGCACYTCCAGAGCTTTCCAGGGAAACTCCTGGATTCTGCTCTCAGTGAGCCCTGCATGGTATCAGCAATTATACTCTGAAAACGCAGGGTAGATGGCTGAACATGGTACAGTTGTTGTTTACTTGACTGTACAGATTTCCAGAAATTGAATGTTTCAAAMTGAATGCAGAAGAGGCTCAAAATGAATGCTGAACAGATGTGCATCTATTATATAGATATTTCTTGTGACTGTCATTTTTYCCATTTTATACCTGAGCACTGGAAGTTTTCAGAGGGACAGAATGATCTGTCAGACATAATAATCGTATGCCCTCTTTTGGTATCCTGAGACCATCTGAAGAAATCTAGTGATATTTAAATTTATAAGGAAACAATCAGCTATTAGGGGTCYATGAGAGATCATTGTACAAATCTTATATCTGGGGGAAGAGGAGGCATCTCTGTCCACATTCAGGGCTGAGGGCTGGAACAAAACAAAGCCTGAAGATCTTGTATATCAGAGCTCTGCAAATAAAACAAACAAACAAACAAACAAAATCTTGAATAAGAGGAACAGATAGTTTAAAAAAGATAATACCTGCTTCTTGCATCTACAGAGAATGCAAAGCTAGTAATTCCACAAACCAACAAAATAAAACATATTTATTGATGATTATTTTCTATTTAGCCTGTGAATACCAGCTGGATGTTTGAGAACTTTCACAGAATAGTGGGACAAAATATTAAACCCAAAATATGAAAATTCCACTCGTACCTCTCTTATAATCTACTTTCAAACAAGRCAGAAATTAATGTGAAAAGTTCTTACATCAGAAACTCTTCTCATGTTAATACCATTTATGAATTTCTTAGCACATAATATCCATACATGAAATTACTGCAACATATCCTTGCTCCATTTCTCCCTTCTAAGGATCAGATTGTGCTATTAAGAACAGAGATGCTGTCGAAACCCAGTGAGGGAACATTAGGGGGCACCAGGGCACKTTCCCAGGGGCAGGCTCAGGGCTGTCTGTCCCATACCTTGTCCATGATGATTCCTGATTTTRTTATTACAGTGGGAATAACTAGAGCACCTAAGTCTCAACAGACCTCACCTTTCACCTAATGTCTATGAGACACAAAGGAAAGAAGACTAAGGTAAGGATAAAAGTAGTCTAAGAAAATGAACCCTTTTTAGGGGAATGACTATCATGGGGAGGCCAGCATAGGGTAAATTTTTACTAGAATGAATGAATGAACTATATAGAATGTAGGGCTTTTGAATGAGATAGGCCTGGGTGTTAATGTTCTTGCTGGGCCACTCACTGACAATGTTATCTAGGAAAATTACTAGAGCTTTTTATTTTGTTTTCCAACGTTAAGTGGGAACAATGTTAAGTGTTAACAATTGCRGTGGGTTTCTGAGGACTAAATGAAGTTTCATCTGAAGGTTCTTAGCATCATAGTACGAAAATCCCAGTGTTTTTCACTTCACTGAGCCACCTCAACTAAAGTGGGGATTCTCAGAAATTCATAGAAAATCACACCTACCTTGTCCTCCAAATAATATTAAAGGGGTGCTTTAGTTAAAAAAAAAAACTAGGAATTTTGAAATGGAGAAGTGTAGACATAAAAAGATTTTTTTCTCCTTTAACAATAGCATGAAATACCTCAGTGTCTGTAACCACACTAATTATTAATAAGGCATCAAGCTGTGAACTTTGAGCAAACTACTGATCCATAAAACAGACCTATTTCTGCACAAGATTGTGGAATTTGACCTCGTTTGTTACTATGTGCAATAATAGCACTTCTGCACTCAAGATAAGCATGCATAGCTACCTATAGGTGTTACAAAATATGGCAAAGTATAAAATGCAGGTGATTAAAAATGAGGTCAAGGATAAGGATAGGAGTATTAAAAAACATTTAAAGGACAATAGGGAGGAAATGCTCCTATGGAGGTTGGGGGTGGGGTAAGGTAACATTGTATTAGTGCACAGATGTTTCTCTGGTCTTCTGGGAACTGACAGTCTCAAYACCAGGAACCTGATGAAGCAGCACTGCAGCAGATCTCATTGTGCAGGACTCTTATTGGCTCAGAAACTAGCCTTTCTTCCCTGTCCCTCCTCCTCGGAGCAAGAGCTGCCATCATACCCCAGGTCCTGTTCATGCTTTCTGGTGCCGTCAATCCTAACTAGTCACTGAAAATGATAACTTCATGGATTTTTCTTGTGACTTTGACTTGGATTTGTAAGTCAACSTAACTTCTTTCTTGTCCTGTTCCATTCATGTACAGAGTCATCTGGACACAAAAATAATTTTAATACCTATGATCTCTCTTCTTTGCTTTTCAGGTGGAGACTCCAAAATAAGGTTATTTCAGGATCAAATAACCTTRACCCGAAGATCAGACAGAACAGCACACATCAGTTGCAAGGTCTCTGGGATCCCCCTCCAGAATGCCATTGTGCACTGGTATCAACTGAAAGAAGGGGAGCCCCTGAAGCGGATCCTTTATGGCTCCTCYAAGACTAACAAGCAAGATAAGCCCAACCCCCGCTTGGAGACAGAAGAGAGAGAAGATGGYATCTTTTATCTGATAATCAATAATGTTGTCACCTCAGATGAAGCCACATACTTCTGTGCTTGCTGGGATCCCACAATGTCACAGAGTCACAAGGGACCTGTATGAGAACCTCCCGATTAAGACCCCTCAGCTGTGCTCATATGCAACCACATGGACTCTCCAATACTGTCATTCCCAGGTTCACAGGTGTTGGAACAGAAAGGTGCTTGGRACATATTTAGCCCAATGCTTTCACTCAAAATTAGGAGCCAACTGGCTTGCTCAAGCTAGTGAACCTCAGAGGCAGGAATACTCCTGCCTCTCAGACTCTGTTCAGTGCCTCTTTCTACCTCTCTTGTGGTCAATATTGATTATTTTTTTAAAGCAACATTGCATATCTTTCAAAAGGAATCTGGGAACAATTTCTTATCTTCCAAGTGATAATYCAGCCCCCAACCAGGTTTTATGTAGGTGAAGTACGTGACTGCCACACTATTTAGAAAGGGTGAAGGTCAGCAGAGGATGGACTCCAGGCTCCATCAATCCCCATTCTGCTATCCCATCCAAGGTTACTTACCCTCCTTTCTTATAGCTTCATTTCTGTTCTGAAATCATAACACTGGAATAGTTTCTTCAGCATATACACCCAACATAAGGTCATGCATAAGATAGACACTGACTTCWTAATGAATATATGTGTAAATACTTTGCCAGTTCCAGAAGGACCTGCTGACCCAAGGCCAAGATTTCCTCTACTTCACTGTGAAACCTGAAAACATTTCTAATTTGTCTTTGGTTAAAGGGGGGGGGGCACTGGCCAACTTCTGCCTTGTTAGTCCCAGGACTTATTTATGTCAAATGACTTACCAGATAATCCTTGAAAATAATAACAGCAACACTCAAAAAGTCCATGCTATGATATYACACCTAAACACTACTAATAAGTTACCCAAACAAAATTAATTCCAGACATAGTCCCTTGTACCACAAACTACTTAACACGTTATTTTTATYCTCAAGCTTTTACATCTCAGTAAGTGGCAAAGGTTTCCTGTATCATATATCACAATGGCAAGGATGTTTGATGAAATGCATGGTAGTGTTTTTTTTAATATTTTATACATGTTCTTTCTCCTCCAGTAATGAGAAATAAAATTATGAGGAAACCCAAACATTCTTAAGGTTTGTGTGTGTGTGTGTGTGATGTGAGTTCTGAAAGCAGAGATGGGAACCCTAGGAACTAAGGCTTCACATCCTCAAAAGTCAACCACACACCAGATAAAACCCTGMTCAGAGTCACCTCAGATGACATTTGGCTGTCAAGATGGTCTCCAGCCAAAACTCTAGATATTAAGGCCAGAGCACTTCCACTTGCCTCTCTATCTCAATGTAGGTTTAGAAACTCCTTACATTCACACTGACATGTGCAGGGTAATAGGCAATCTTGGACAGCAATAGGTGCCTATTTATAATTCTGAAGGGTATGGCCAGAATATTCCCCTGGTCACTGCAATCTCCAGGTATAATGCAAAGACAAATAAAACAAGTAATTTGTACAATTCAATKGGATTTTAAATTTAAACTAGACCCAGCCCTATATATTCTAGTGTTAGGTGATTGCTTTTAGTGCTCATTGTTCTTTTTTTTTTTATTCCCAACAAGGTATTTGACCATTTAGATTTCTAAGTAGTAATAGTCCACATGGTAAACAGAATATCAACCATTATGAAGTAAAAACTTTCATTATTGACAATGATAAAAAAAATCTTTAGAACAAATTCTATTTGTTCYAAATAGAATTGGAACAACCAATTAAGGAAGTTCAAGAACAATCTTTCTAAATATTCTGTAGCCCAACTATAGAAAGGTAGTCAAATGAGAAACTAAGATTAGTTTCAATATTAAAACACCTTACATAAGCACCAATTCTGATATAATAACTTAAGTTAATTTAAAATGACTATTAACTRTAGAACAAATAAGTTATAAAACTGGCATTCAACATCTATACTGATTCCATTTTATAATTTTGTTGCTCAACCCATTACTATAAACAAAATCAAATCATACATTTGGTAAAATCTAAGGTTTTTTGTTTGTTTGTTTTACAATGTTATTCAACTCAATAACATTGGCTTGAATAATATCAATTTTTCCTTCAATTTTAAATAATAAAAAGGGGGAAAACAAAATCCTACATGGCCCAATGAATTTCACAAAATTATTTTTAAAAAAATTCTTTAAATTTTAATACTAAAAGTCTTGCTGCTGCTGAGCAACACATGGTACAATAGGATAATTAAAATTTCAAAGGATGGAATCTAAACCTGTATCRTGGAGACAACTGAAAAACTTGACACAGGAAGGTAAATCTCTAACCACAATGTTTATAGCTATGCTGACATTGTGAGCTATCAGGCAAGTTAAATCTACCGAGAGACTTCAATGGACCTGTTCCCCAGATCCACCTCTTATGTACCTAACAATGTGGACTAGGGAATTCATCCCAATATTTTCTAATGATACTTACATGATGGGAGATTTTACAGATAAACATTGCACTTATTCATGTTGCTGGATTTAATTATACTGGCTACAATAGGAACCTGACTATATGTTGGTCCCATGACGAGCATGGTGCTACTTAAAGGTGACTTTTGAGGAAAGGACAGCATAGAAAAAGACCTAGGCCAGCCAGTCATATTGGTCCTTAGAACTTAAGATTATATCTGRACAGTTATTAAAATGGGACGATTATTGAAATGAAATTCTTTCATAATAGGCCAATTATTTCCACAGAATACCCACCAATATTTCATTACTTTAATCATTCTGCAATAAAATTTGGTATCTTTCCTAATTGAATGAAATATACAAAAGCTTTGCCAGTGTGACATAGAATCTCTAGTAGTGATGAATATGTTTTGGGTTTATCTTCAAAAGTTGATAAAAGACAGCCATATCAAGATGCCATTTCCTATAGAAAGTCTAAAGTCAGGAAAACTTTACATGGAAGTACTGTCACTAAATGTAGCTCACTTTTCTTTTTTCTTACCAAGAATTTGCARGCAGCCATGTTTAATTTGGATTCTTAATTTAGTAAATGATCTAAGAAGCTAAAAATATAATTATCTAGAACTATTTTCAAAATGTAAAAAGAAGATTGAACATACAATCATTCCAATTCTTTAAAAAACCCATATGATTTAGATTACTACCTGTTGTTTTAGTGTTATTTACAGCCATGTAATGAAGCCCAAATTAAAGCCTGGGAAACTGATTGATGTTACACTAGAAAGATCAATAATATGTTTAGATTTATAAGTTATTCCTTATTTGATAATAATTTGGGTCCTATGAATCTTAATGTATTCTTTCAGATTTTTATCTGTTTCAGTATTCACTATATTTATGGACTTATTCCATTCTCTTATGATGTTATTACCTCTGAAAGTTCCATTGGTAATATTCTAACTTTTAGGGAGGATGATATTCAAAGAGATCTCTGGAATTTAACTGCAGCCTCAAATTTTCTACATTATATAAATGGCCCCATGCATAACTTTATAGGCAGGAACCACAAGGAGGATTCCTGCTTTGGYCTGTGAGCCTTTTTCAATTCTCTTATGTTTTAATTATTGGAGATATAAAAATAAGAAAAAATGGATAATATCCCGTAAATTTTCTTAATAATTTGGCTCAAAWTATTTCTAAAGTCCCATGCAATTAGGTAAGTATTGTTAGATTGAAACTAAAATATTCTAAAAGCTATTCTTTCAAATATCAATAGTGAGCTTYAAACCCTCAAATTCAATCTTTATACCCTCAAATTAAATGCTTTGCTAAATATGGCTTTATTACTGCAGCCAAATATCATACTTCCCAGTAAATTTGGGAAAAATTAAAAGATATCTAATGGATATTTAGCATAAAAATAATAATGGCTTAAACCTCATGGGAATACATCAGAGCACCCAGGATACTTAGAAAAGCAGAACCAATCTCATGGTCCCTGCATCTCTAGCTGATCAAATACTTTGTAAATTAATTATTGGCTCCCATCCTGGAAACATGTTAAAACTATCTACATTGTATGTTATTGAAATGATATATTTGCTATTAATTMTTTTTAGAGCATAATAATAGATTGTGATGCTCTCAGATCAAGGACCCAGTGACTCAAAGTAAATACCCCTTATTTGTATTTAAAATTAAAAATGGAGGAGATGTTTAGAGCCATCCATGGGCTAYTTGGACTATATTGCACATCGCAGCCTAATGAATAGGATAATCTGGTGTCTGGGAACTTCTAGTGGATATTTCCTCTGGTTGACTGCCTAGACACATTGTGAGAACACATTCAAGCTCTGCCAATGGTCCTATATAGCACCAGGGATGGGTGACCTGCTGTAGTCGCACAGCCTTTCTGAGATGGGTATGACCTGCCATGATGCCAATGGACCTGGTGACTGCAAGACATCACGAAGCAAGACTCCACTCCTGTAACCTTATCCCTGTTTTTGATGTACCTTCTTAAAAAATTTAAATAAACCACTGGAGCCATTTTCTAATTGTCTAGCTCCAGCTCCTGTGCGGACTGGACCTATCAGGGGCTCCAACTTTTTGAAACTATCTTTCTGACTTTGTCTCTTGTTCTTCACTAGTTGTAGACTTTAATTTCTTAGGTGGCTTACACCCTACTTGGAAGGAAGAAGAAYCCCCTAGGGAGACACTGGCCACATCCCCGTATTAAGCATTAGTGTTTGAAAGTTCAAAGACCTCAATTTTTTTTACAGAAATTTTTGATGCTTTATCACAAACAAAATTATCCATGTGTATGTGATACCATGTTATATTTTGACACATGTATACATTTTGTAATGTTCAAATCAGGCTAAACACATTTCCCCCAAGCATTTATCCATTCCTGATGGTGAAAACATTTGAAGTCCTTTCTTCTAGCTTTTACAAGCATGCAGTACATTATCATTATCAGTAGTCTGCCTCCTACTTAGAGGCACTTGCTTCATAGTACCATGCACTGGTATATTGCTTTTTAGAATATGCAAATCAACYTTTTAATCTACTTTTTATTAGTTTGATGATCCCTGTGATTTTCAGAAAGCAATACCCAAAATCACACATGGCCAGATGAAATGCAGATCCACTGTCTTATCCAGATTTGCACAAACTTAGAAACTGTCCTTGACACACTACCCTGCCAAACAACTCCGTCCACACAATAAGAARCATTTGAATGAACAGGGTCTGGGATTTTGCAAAACTCAATTCAAATTCAAACTCCYAAGTTTCCAGTTTCCTATCTGACTTTCTATGATCATAACAAATTATAGGTGAACGTAAAAGAGGTAAATGTAAGATGAAGCCTGACTCCTAGTAAACATTATATTTATGAATTTTCTTTCCTTCTACTACCACAGTCAAAGGCCAGAGTTTATCAACCTGCAATAGGAAGAAAGAAAACAGAAAGGAGATTTTGGAASTGGGGTGGTATTAATTCCCCAGGAAATATTCTTTCACACAGAAGGGCCCTTTGTGCCTCCCTCTTCAGAACAGACAAATATCCTCTTTGCCAAAAATAAATAGGGGCTTCCCCAGGCATGTTTTTCTGAGGGTGCTATATAAACTAAGTATCTGTCATACATTTGGAGCCCCAAGAAATTAAGAGATCATCAAATTTAGAAGGGAGATGAGAGATGAAATTGCTAAAGAGAAATAACTTCTTRAAAGTGAAATGACCTGGCCTCTCTCAAACACTGTCTTCTGATATTTATAAACAAGAAAACTCAATACTTCCCAATGACCCACTATACTTTGTTGGAACATATTTGGTATTATTCAAGCAATAAAATATGTGAAATCAACATTATGCCAGTTCATGAAAATGAGTGGTTTATAGATGTATGTGATTTGCACTTCTTACACATGTCAGATAATGTGGAYAATGTGTTTATTTTGYTTAAGAGAACAATCTTCTCATTTTTTCTCAAAGGAAATCTTTGCAACTTTTTCAGGTACCAGATTCCAGTAAAAGTTCTAAAATTTCCAGAATATGAACCAATGTAAAAAAATTGTATACGTTATTCTTTTGTTTTTAGTTGGCAAGCAAACATTGAAATGAGAAATGAGATGTATTTTAACACCTTTTTTTTCATCTAACAAATTTGGTTGAGTTTGGTCAAWGATGAAAATTGTCAAGGCCAAGCTTGAGAAAGTGATGCAAAACTTTACAATTAAATTGAAATATGTTCGACCTTACTGGACTTTCTTGTAACTTACATGGTTATTAATTCATTCTTCATCATATTTTGTAAAACAGGATTTAAGTTTCCTCCACTGGTCATCTCAGGACCTGGCAAATGCTGTGTGTGTCTGTCTGGGTTACATARGGAGGGTGAGAATTAAAATTACTGATTTTTATTCACAAATCTAAGATWCTTCCATTCTTTCTTTAAAAGCGCCTGAATTTTTGCATTAATGATCAGAGAAAATAGTCCATATTTGAATATCTATTATATCCCAATCTCTAGTCTATACACATTATTTCAWTTGAACCTTATGGATTCATGAGAAATGGGTCTCTTCATCTCCATCTTACAGATGAAGAGACTAAGGCTCTGTAAATTGTACCAAGGTCACACACAACACCAGGAGTGGAAGCACCAGGCCCTGAATCTATCAATTCCCTTCAGTTTAAAGCATCCTTTCCTTCACTTTCAACCTCTAAGATGCTAATTATTTGAATTCTTTCACAGGAATCTTCAAAACACATTACATATATTCATTTGCATTRCACACTGGCCACTCTGTACACTCCTTGGTCACAGCGGAAACACAGATCCTCAGTCGCCTCTGGCTGGTTTGTGATCATGTGTGAGATATGGCTGTATCACCTGAACTACTCCCCTGCCCAGTTCCYTTTGATTTCCACAAATAAATTTATCTTTCTAAAGCACAAAGCTGATCGTGTCTATATCTTCTGAAAAGCCTTCAGTAAGTCCTCCTTGTTTATTCTTTTAAAAACGTTTATTTGAAAACATTATTAAAAAGACAAAATTACCCACATACTTACTTCTTAACACCTAGTGTATTAATTGATACTTCTCCTGCCCCATTCCCAGCCAATGCTCSTCTCATCAGTGGATGTAATTACACTCCTACAACTTCTGAACACACAGGCAGCTGTGTCTTTGTCATTTTAATCTGTTTAGGGTTTATCACATATGGTAGGAGGCAGAGAGAGATTTTTATCTATCCAACATTAATCCTTGTCCAATTCCAGTTTTTAAGCAATCTATCAAATTCTTGCAGTTTAAAAATGTTGTGTCATTATTTCACATACCAACATACTTGGAACGCTTTTCTGGAAGTTTTCTGTTTTTTTATCTGCTTCATTATTCTTACATCATTATGTCAGTAGCTTTGTAATAAGCATTARCATCTATTATCCCAAATGTCTATTTATTGCTATTTTCTTTTCTTTTTCCTTCCCTCATCTTTCTATGTCCTTATAGATATTTAATCAATTTATTAAGCTCATTACTAATCCTCATTTTCTAGAAGAAACAAAATGYTTTAGTGATTCTGACTGGAATTGCAGTTAATTTAGATGTGAATTTAGGAGGTATTGGMGTCTTCTTTTTTAACTGTAAAGTCACAGTTTATTGATTTTTGTGTCTGCCACTTTTATGTCCTCTTGCATATCTGTACCTCATATGTATTACCCAAGGTGATTTCATGCTGAAAGAATCCTGAAAATTAGTTTTTTTTGGAAGTACAAGGTACAGTGTATTTTTAAGTGGAATCTGTTATAGTCTGTCTTTAATACTTATGCTTAACACTGTAGCACTATGGGACCAAAGCCTGATTAGCCTGTCATATGTGGCTGCCTTCTATTCTCTAACACAAAACTCACATGGGATATGCTGTACATAAGTCATYTTTGACTCATGTATGGTGTTTAGTTTCYAAGGAGTTTTATTTATTGRTTGAGGTATCTTTCATTTCTCTTTGAATATCTGTAATGCTTTGGTTCTTGTCTTCTGMTGCATTTAATGTTTTCTTCAAGTTGAACATTCTGAGTATAATGATCCTGGTTGCTACTTCTCAGGAAAATGTATTAAATTTAAGTTTGCTGAAGATACTTTTTACTAAATCATTCACTCCTGAGCTGATTTTTCTCCCAAGGTACTAGTGAGAAGACAGCTGCCTGCACAAGCAGTCTCCAGAATMCAATTCACAAGCCCTGGCCCATGAACCATTGGAGCAAAAACAGGTAGTGTTAGTACTTCTCTGTTTWTTCACCTTAACTCATAGTTTTAGCTGTATATTTTATAATGTAACATATTGAAAAACTGATGAATTAATATAGTTCTATAATTTATAAAGAAAATAACATAAAATGAATACTTGATGTTATGACTAGGGGAGGTATGCAAATATGTTTAGAAACTTCTGCTCTTAGCATACAAAATCAACTCAMAGTGGATCAAGGACCTAGAAATTATGCCAGAGACCCTGAATCTAATAGAGGAAAAAGTAGACCTAAGTCTTTATCATGTCAGATTAGGCCCTGACTTCCTTAATAAGACTCCTAAAGAAAAAGAAATAAAATCAACAATTAATACACGGGATGGACTCTAAACTAAAAAGCTTTTTCCCAGCAAAAGAAACAATCAATGAGGTGAAGTGAGAGCCTATATTTTGGGAGCAAATTTTTGACACACACACATCAGGTATTGGCTTCTTTATGATAGTTTCTTCATCATTAATAAGTTTCTCCTTGTATTATTGTTTTATTGTAGGCCGTCAGTAACTGTGGTGTTACTAGAGTTCTCATATATCTTCTTATAAGTTTTGTAAAATAAAAGATTTCATAAAATAATACTCATTATTTTGCATTTTATTTCTGAGATCCTTCATGAATCTGGAAATGCAGATAATACTGAAAAAATAAGCTTCTGATTAGTAAATAAAATAAAAACTAAAAGGATTGAATGGGCATTGTGTGTGGGTGCCAAAGATGGAAAGGGTAATGGATAGCTCCAAGTAATTAAAAAATGGAATTTAGAAAACGATATAGTAAATCAATCAATCAATTGAAATTTAAAAACACTTTCAGACATAATTTTCATTTAGCCTCCTGTTCTGGCCAATTGGGTTGGTGGTTGTAAGTGGCTGTCCATGGACAGTTTTCCTCCATGACCACATTCATCCCTCACCCTTGTTGGCAGATGGCATATGTGCTCATGGAACTTAGGCTAGGTTGGATTGGGCCTGGAGTGAACATGGGGGCCACCTCAGCCTGTTCTTGGTTCTTGYAGCTGAACTGTTCATCTGCAGTGGGATGAGGAATTGGCTGATTCTGGCAATTTCTCTATTCCCACTCTGAGATAAAAAGACATAAGATTACAAAAGTGYTGCCAAAGAGACTTCTTCTTTCAACATATCAGAGAACTGGAATTTCTAGTGTAGTTTAAGTAAGAAATCTCTAATTTCATGGGGAATAGAATTCTACAGGTTTATTCTCTTATTCCAGGAAAAATAATAACTCGTCACAGAATTTATTTCCTCACTTGGCACTGCTCCTATAGTGAATGTGATTCCACACAGTAAATGTGGCTTTACTGAAAGTGGAGTCCTGATCACAGTTCTCACATTTGCATTTTCAGTTACTAAAGAGCTTCCTCCTTTGAGAAATGTGTTCCCAATGGCTGGCACAGATGCCTCGGTGTCTGTAAGAACGGAAGTCCCTTTCCTTTGATGGTATCTCTGAGCAGTTTTAATACAACCGAACACCTAGAAATTTAAAAATAAAGGACTCAATTCTCAGAATACTATTCCTGTTAACTTAGAAAAATAGGACCAGTTGGCCCATCTCTCTTTTTTCCTGTTCTTACCATTGACAATTTCTTTGGTGCATTCCAAAGATTCCTGCTTCAATGGAAAGAGTTTACAAGGTCTGTGTAAGAGGAAACTTACAAAATATCACACGRCACAAAACCTATAGTCAAGGAGTTGAAAGAAACTCAGAAGACCAAACTTCCAGGACAAAGATGTTAAACTCTTGGGCATGTCATGAAGCATAGGAGAAGGCTGAGATTTTTGTAGAAGCTGTGAGCAATGTGATATATAATGAAGGTTGGATCAAGATATTTGGAGGAGGTACAAAGCTCATAGTTTCTCCCTCTGGTAAGTAACCTTTTTCCTGTTTTTACTCTAGCAATGAAAAATAGATACAGGCTTTGTAGAAGAAAAMAAAATGCAATAAACTTTTCCTGACTCTACCAATTTCTTGGCCTCAGGTTAGGAAAAGCAATTTCATAGTTTTGGGATTCTGGATATTGAAACAAAATTACTTTGTACATGATTTCTTCCCTTCCCTGTTAGAAAGCAGATTGAATGTGTACATTTAGAATGCACACACACAGAAACTATAGCCTAGGGCTAGAAATTAAAATTTGGGAAACCATGTCTGTAGACTATTAGTGTAAATATTGTTGCCTCAAGATACTTTTTTTTTGTATAAGGTTTTTGAAGTGAGTCTTTAAAATGGATTTTGACTAATTGCTTCTTCTATATATTATGAGATAAATCACAATTCAGCTATCTCTAACTAATCTGCAAAATCTAAATTCTTAATTTTAATCTTATGGCTAAAGACAGTAAAAATATATGTAATTCTTTTAGAACATTACTATGGAGTATAAATTATTCCATCTTCTCATTTCTCTAATCCTTTAGAAGGTAGGCTAACTATAGTCACAGTTTATGGAGCAATGAGTTCGGTTGCATGGTCTGGAGATAAACTGGAATTTGCAAGTTCCACAAACCATTTCAGTCCAAGGTGTAGGGAAAGACTCTTCATGGTTTTACATACAAGCTGAGCATCCCTAATCTAAAACTCTGAAATCCAAAAATCTCTGACATTTCTGGTCCCAAGCATTTTATATGAAGAATATCCAATCTGTATTGTATCTGGTGGAAGAATTTGATTAAATGGCCCAGTACCATAACATTAAAGAGTTTCAGGACTTCCCTCCTTGCTTAACATCCCAGGACAAGAGATTCTGTTATTCTTACTTCATAGATGAAGACACTGAGGCTTATGGTCATTTGTTTTCCTAGTTATAAGATTAGTAACTGTGGCAAAAATCGGGGCTCTAGGACATCCTATTGCATAGGCATTCWCTAAAGCTTCAAGATATTATTCTCAGGTTCCTTGTACAGAATGACAAGCTGTTCTTATAGCATTTCATTCAATTTTATTTCTGCATTATATTTGCCAGAAATACAGAAGCTGGTACGAGCTATTGCAGCTGTACTGACTTTCCTTCCTCAAYTGCATGACTCAGAGCTGCCTGGTCACTCATGACAGGATAGCTACAAAAATGCCCACCAGTTAGGGTCTCCTGATGAGCAGCACAGGGTTAATATTCAATGCTCCAGAAACTGCAAGGGAATGTTCAAATCAAAAGGTGCCATCTTTCTACTGTGAATAGCTTAAGAGATCATCAGTAAGTATTCATATTCTGTAACAAATCAAGTTGACTATCAATGGGAATTAGATTTCAAAAAGACATTAAATTATAATTAATCCAGATACCCATCCTTCCATTCATATGAGTCACAAATATAAATCACAGCAAATATTCATTTTAAATGTTCCAATGTCATTACTATTATTGTTTCTCTTTGAAAATTAAAGAAATATTAATTAAATCTAAGTTGTACTCCAGACCAAGAACTGATGGACTCCTTTAAAGGAGGAGATTCAAAGCTTCTGGCAAATCCTGAGAAATTATAAAACCAGACTTTACAAGACTTTATAAGATAATAGGTATAGCCCAAGCTGCCCAGGGAGAGTGGACTGAGTTCTTAAAATCCTGATACCACTCTAATAAAATCTGATTTTATTAGAGCTTTGTCTCTTTCCAGTGTCAGTTGAGCTGATTTTTATGTATTCGTATAAATGCTAACAAAATATTGGTTTCAGGACAGATTCTAGCACAAAATTCTTGGAATTGCTCCTGTGTGGTCATTATTCACAGTGGGCAGTCAATTCCTAAGAGGGAGTATCTTCCCTGAGCTTGCATTTTCAAATACAATATTTTTCATTTTAGAATTAGAAAGGACATAGATGCACCAATCCTTTAGAAGAGATATGATACTGGGATTGAACTCAGAGGTGCTTTAACTGAGCTACACCCTCAACCCTTTTTAATTTTTTTGCTTGAAAACAGGTTCTAAATTGCTTAGGGACTTGCTAAGCTGCTAAGGCTGGCCTTGAACTTGTGATCCTCCTGCCTCAGCTTTCCATGTCTCTGGGATTATAGACATGTGCCACAGTGCTTGACTCAACAATTATTAACAATTATTCTAAGAAATAGAGGGAAGAATCCCATTATGTACCATCACTATTTCAATGCTGTGGGGCTCATGACATCTAATGTTATGCACAGAAGGGGTCCCTTCGCAGACGGGTCAGGCAGGTAGCACATAGTGACCTAAGATGGCTTTGAGAACCAGGCTGCCTGCCATTTCTCTGGTCGTCTTCTTCCTTTAAGGGCCTAACCAGCAGTTACAAGTCATACTTTGGCATGTACTGAAGGAAGGTTGTTTGAAGGTGAACATTCTGGGGAAAACTTGGAATTCACAATGTGTTGTGCTGCTAGTTGAGAAGAAAGCCAATATTTTGGACGATACAAGGGAAGAGTTTTTACTCACTCACTGCACCTGCTAGCTTGAGCCAGGGCTCCCTTCCATTGTCTTAATGGGGAAGATAAAAGAGATGAGTGAGAAATACACGATTCCTATGATGATGGCTTTGGCAATTTCAGGTATATTGGAGCAAAGTAGACTTCAAACTGAGGACAGAGGAATGACCTTTCCTTTATTGCTTTAAATCTAATTGCAACCCCAAATGCTGAATTTTTATTGAAAAGGGCAAGTCTTGGTCCTTTGAAATTACAATACCATCTTGGAGCACAGTCATAGCTACTGATAACAATGAAGCTGATAATGATAAACCCTTCTCTGTTTCTATGGTATTTTTAATCCAATTGCTTTTTTTATGTATTGTTCCATTTTGGTCTCACTTCAGCACTAGTAGCAATGTTGAATTGCTTTACATTCTCATCATTGTTAATGGATAAATAACCAAAAACCTTTCTGGGCATTGTGGCACTCCCCTGTAATCCCAGCAACTCAGGAGGCTGAGGCAGGAGGATAGTGAGTTCAAAGCCAGCCTCAGCAGATTAGCGAGGCACTTAGCAACTCAGCAAGATCCTGTCTCTAAATAAAATACAAAAAAGGACTGGGTTGTGGCTCAGTGGGTAACCACCTGGAGATTCAATCCCTGGCACCAAATGATAATAATAAAATAATAATAATAATAATAACCAAAAGCCTTGAAGGTAGTCACCTTGCTCAGTCACAGAACTTGTTATGAGCAATATGAACCAAGACCAGAATCCTGGTCTCTGGTTTCTTAGGACTTTCAGGCCATCATGTTGACCCTAGAATTTGAAGAACACAAGGACACTAAACTCGTTCAACATTTTTGATATGGGTGAAAACACTGTGCAATGATGGTAGGAAAATTTTTGGTGGTGGAACAAAACTCATTGTCACAGGTATGTATTGGAGGATATGTTATTTCCAAGGTAATAGAGGATAGGCAAGGAATGATTAAACTGGAATAGAATTAAGAATGTTTAGAAAAAGAGAGAATGAGATGAAGTTTCAGTAGTAACCTTACAAGAGATTTCAAAAGAAAGTTTTATACTAGAGARCAGGGAACACATTGTGCAAATATTTTGATAAGGTTTGACTCTGTGTGCATGTAGACTTCTATGAAACACTTTCATACAATGTTGGCAATAATATCATTCAAGTACTTGACCCTGAGACCATGTCCACTGTTATAGATTAGCCTTCGATGGACTCAATAGAGTGGAGACATTGCCTTTACTCATGACCAAGAGTCAGACAAAGGAGTCAACTCTTTGCTCCAAGGCAGACTCGGAGCTTCACCTGSTCCAGATTCATCACTATTTAGTGGACATGCAGAAACATCCTTTGGCTTCAGTGTCCTAAACCATAAAATGGGAAAACAGTATGAACCCAGCAAGGATACATGGGTATTGAAAGAGATAATGTGAATAGAGTTGTTTGCATACTGTTCAATCCATAATTTTTCTGATTCAAATGGAAAGAGAGAAGCTTTTCTATGATAGAAAGTTGTTTTTAGCCAGAAACCTTTACTATAGAGCAGACATTCTTAAAAGGATTCAGGTATATTTCTAACTGTTCCTATAAAAGATTATCTTAACATTTGTTCACAATAAAATTGAATCTGGAGGTACTTGTTTATCTTTTTTTTTAAAGAGAGAGAGAGAGAGAGAGAGAGAGAGAGAGAGAGAGAGAAATATTTTTTAAATATTGATTTTCTAGTTTTCGGCGGACACAACATCTTTATTTGTATGTGGTACTGAGGATCGAACCCAGCGCTGCGCACATGCCAAGCGAGCACGCTACCGCTTGAGCCACATCCTCAGTCCTTGTTTATCTTTAGCAGACTATTTTTTTTATCACTTGGCAAGAAAAATTACACTAAAATGTTTCTTAAAATTTTTGTTGTTGTTTTACATGCTTTGAATTTTAATATTTTTGTCTTAACTAATAATAACTGTATCATTAACATTTATTTATTCTGTATTTTATTGTCAATAAAAAGGTTTTTACCCTTATTTGTTAGGAAACATTCATACAAAGCTTTTTCCTGACAAATAAGATTCATATGGAAAATAAATTCATACAGAAAATGGTCTATATAAAATCAATTAAATAATTCTGAAATTTATAAAAAATCTGAAATACATATTTAAATATAAAATAACTATACCTCCAGATTTGATGAAGGAAAAACAGAAAGTAGAGAATATTTAAATTCTCAAATAAAGATTCAAAATCTTACTTTCAATAGAAAATGCATATGACGTTTGATAAATTTATACATAATTCATCTTGCGGAATCTTCAAATACAAACAAGTTGGCAATTTAACTCACATTGCATGATTGTACAAATTAATATAAATAATTGAATTGAAGAGGTTTTGTCATTTTTTAAAATAATTAAATATATGGTAATTCTTTTATTCATCATTTAAATAAAATAGAATTGCTGCCATTTTATGCTTCTTGAACAAAAATCGACCGTGAAAAATGCTCTTAATAAGTACATTTGTATGGGAAGTTTTAAAGGACCATGACTTTCAAAGCACAATAAAGGTACAATCAAATATGCTATTTAATGCCCAGTTAACTGTTACATTGAGGATGTCATAGAAGTTTGAGATTCATTTTATCTTCAAAAAAATAAAACAAGCTTAGCCAGAGAAAAAAGGCAATGCATGGTGGGGTGCTCTGCAGAAATTTTTCAAGTTTAACATTTGAGTTTCAATTTCTGTATTATAATGAATCAGATGTATTTCAATGGACAAACGTATTCTTAAAATGTAACTATAATATAGAATTTTAAAATCAATCTTATCTTCTACAATATGCTTTTTGAATTAAAAATAAAGCATGTGGTGGAGAAATATATAGTATCTTACTATGTGCACTTAAAAGCAAGATGAACCAAATTAAAATAAGTATATTATAACCCAATTATATTTACAGCATGTTCAAAAACATAGAAATTATAGCTGACTTTTGTGTAAAAGTCAGGAGCTTTAGTCTTTTTCATCTCAAATGAGAAGCCAAATTGTTCTTAAGAAATTGTCTGGGGTTAGGGATTTAGGTCAGCAGCARAGCCCTTGCCTATCTTGATCAAGGCTCTGGATTTGGTCCTGGGCCCTGGAAAAAGAAGAAAAATAGAATTTGCCTGTTGGGTATGGCCATGCAGGCTTGTAACCCCAATAATTCCAGAGGTTGACACAGAATTTTTCCAAGTTCTGAGCCAGTCTGGGCAATCTACTGAGACCCTGTCTTAAAATAAAAGGTAAGATTGGGTGTGGTGTCACATACCTGTAATCCCAATGGCTTGGGAGGCTGAGGCAGGAGGATCAATAGTTCAAAGACAGCTTCAGCAAAAGCAAGGCACTAAGCAACTCAGAGATATCCTGTCTCTAAATAAATACAAAATAGGGCTGGGATATGGTTCAGTGGTTGAGTGCCCCTGAGTTCAATCCCTGGTACTCCTCAAATAAATAAATAAATAATAGTATTGGGGATCTGGGCGTGGTATGGAGTGATCCCAGTGGCTAGGGAGGCTGAGGCTGGGGATCATGAGTTTAAAGCCAGTCTTAGTAACTTAGTGAGGACCTGAGTAACTTAGTAACCCTGTCTCAAAATAAAATATAAAAAGAAGGTGGGGGGGGATGGCTGTGGTTATGGCTCAGTGATTAAGTGCCCCTGGGTTCAGCCTCCAGAACTGAAAATAMAAAAGAAATAGAAAGGAAGGAAAAGGAAAGAAATGGCCTTGAATTATTATGCTCACTTCAACTAGCCCAAAGAGCAAAGCATTTGAGTTTCAATTGACAATCAATTAGAAAGCCAACATCTATCATTTTAGTCAATAGGTTAAAAATAATTATATTACAAATTCACATTCAGACACACATGATATACCATTGTAAACACATGATGCTTTGGTTGATATTTTGACATTATATYTGCAAGAAACTCTAGAATCACAAATTTTACATTATACCAATTACATTACATGCCTTATTCAGCAGATTAAGATAAAGAGAATAATGGAGCTTCAAAACAGTTAAATAGCATGTAGATTAAATGTGAATTTGGGGAAAAATACTGAGAGGCACATATGGATATGGAGATATGTATAGACTCTCCCAATTTATATTAAAGAACATATGAAAAATATTCTTGGTATCTTCCTAATCACACTGAACTTCAAATGAAAACCCAAAATAAAATGAACATCTTGGAATCTTTTTTAAAGCAAAACAAAATTAAATAAGAACATTGGTTGATAAGATTAAGCACAAGATCATTTCTGAAAATAAGCAATAAATTGTTTAATAAAAGGTACAACAATGTTGCTATTTTGCTTCTAAATTCAAGACAGTATGAATAATTTGGAGATGCAACTTTAAATACTGCCTAACCCCAAACTTGAAGTAGTTCAKATGTGAAAGTGAAATGTTATGTAGCTAGTTAGACATCAACTAGAACTCCAGGGACTTCCGAACTGGACATGGGATCTGTCTTTGAAACTAAGAGATCCACTTGATAGATTGAAAGTATAAATGAAAGTATATACTCATTAAAACTAATGATTGCATGTTGTTAACAAAAAAGAGGGAAAAAGAAGAAGAAAAAAAGAGAAAATCTACATCCTGATGTTTACTCATATAAGAAATAAGATAAATAGGATGCATTCTAGAGTCAGCTAAATGAAGTCTAGGTTGCACAGAACCAAATATCATGAGAATGTGAGCTACTTGGCCAGTGAGCACAAGTGATAAAGGATGGACAGGGGAAGCACTTTAGAAGTAACACAGACTCATCTGCAGACAGATAACTACAGAAGCCTGGTCTCCTTTCCCTCCCTGTCATCTGCCATGAAAACATGCACCACTACAAGAAATCAAAAAAAGTAAGTGGTTTCATGAGTGTTGGTAGCTTGGTTAGGAACAGTTAAATGTCGTCCCTTTCTTAGCATGTGAAGAAAGGAGGAAGGCCAGATTTGCCTCCAGGCTCTGCCACTTCATAACTCTTATTTTGAGAAGTTACTTAATCTCTTGAAACTCTCTCCATATCTGTAAATAAGGACAATAGTAAATACTTCACAACCTAGGTGGGAATGAATGACCAGCTTGGGCACTAATTCAATGGCAACTCTTCTTCCTATTTCTATGCACTAGGTTTTTCCAAACTATGTGACGTTTCTGTTTCTCTAGTAATTCTTTTTATTGATATTCCATTTTCTCCACAGATAAAAGCTCTGATGTAGACATTTCCCCCAAGCCCACAATTTTTCTTCCTTCTGTTGCTGAAATAAATTTCCATAAGGCTGGGACCCATCTTTGTCTTCTTGAGAACTTTTTCCCTGATGTTATTAAGGTATTTTGGAAAGAAAAGGATGGTGATGGGATTCTGGAAGACCAGCAGGGAAACACTGTGAAGACTGATGACACATACATGAAGATGAGCTGGCTAACTGTGACTGGAGAGTCAAKGGATAAAGAGCACAGGTGTATCGTCAAACACGAGAATAATAAAGGWGGRGTTGATCAAGAGATTCTCTTTCCTGCGATAAAKAAAGGTATATATGTTTAAATATAAATATGAACTTTATAAATTTTAATGCTTTTTCCTTGAAAACTTTTTTTTTCTTATTTTTGAGATTGGGCCTCACTATTGCCCAGGCTTGTCTTGAACTTGTCACCTTCCTCACTCAATCTCTGTAGATGTGACTACAGGTGCCTGACATATTGCCCAGCTTTAGAAATCTTGTTTGAAAAAGAGTTACTTACATTTTTTATGATATATCAATGTAAAATTATATAAATTCTTCTTAAATATCATTATATTTAATGGTAGCACATGCCCTGTTATTTTACCATTTAATTAGAATGACTTAGTCTTTGGAAAAAAAAAAAAGAGAAATTTTTCCAAAGCTTTCTCAGCCTTTGTTTTTTTTTTTTTTTCATGCAAAATATTAAGATCACATGATTTTATTTTTTTTTTAAGAATTGTTAAATGGTTTGTAGGAAACAACAAGGCCAACATATAACCCCGATGATGGATCCCTTGCCAAGGCTGTGACAGGCCCTAGTTCCATCTACAGCACTGCAAACAAAACCAAAAATGAAATAAAACAAAACTACAAACAACATACTCTAAAGCATCTAGCAATTTAGTATATGATAATGCTAAAAGGTGTTTCCACAATTGACGACTTTGGAAAGTAAAAATAGTCCTGAGTGTTAAATGGCTATCCAAATGCCTCAAAGTGGTCGTGGAAATGAATCATTCTTAGACTATTCCCTGTGGCTAACAGCCCTTTTAAATCAGTGAAAGAAATATAGAGCAGAACATGTGAAGAACTTTGCCATGCAAGGTCCAGATTTTCCAAGTAAGACTTCATCCTCCGGGACCCTTAGTTTTGCAATAAGTGAGGTCTGCACAGTTTTCCTAAGATATGCATGATTTGGAATAATATGGCTTCTTTYTATTGTAGGTTACCTTGAACATTATATTACATTTGTGGTAAAAAAAGAGAAAAAAATATCTTGCATGAACTTCTTTTTCAAGARTAGAAAAATTATATATGAATGATATCTATTTAATTACAGCCTGAGACCAATTATTTCTATAACCGTGGGGCTCAGATTTTTAATGTCTTCCTGTCTCACCATGAAACTGATTATATATATTTATGATTTATGCATAAACCTATATCTATCTATACAAACACTTATGCTCCCACTGTCAAATATTGGATATGAGTAATTGAACAGTACTTGCTCTCATTTCTGCCAGGTGTCACCAGGACTGAAGCTTGCTCTAAAGATGAAATCAGTAAGTTTTAGTGTATTTTTTTATCATGTCGTGCTTTAGCATTTTTCCCTTTTGTACTTCCCTGCTTTTAGGTAGAAAAAAACAGATGATTGGATGTTACAGAATAGATTGAGTGATATATTAAATTAATTCATCATCCAAAATGATTGGATGTTACAGAATAGATTGAGTGATAYATTAAATTAATTCATCATTTCTAGACAATACATTAACACAGTCAACTAGTGATTTGGGGAGGAAATGATTTAAATGAAAGTTACAGTAACATGCTCTGAACTATTTCAACAAAAAGATTTTTATTATTTCAAATGATTTGGAAAAACGTGATATCTAGTTATTTCTAGTTTTTTAAGGGTTCATGTTATTTCTAGTTTTTTTAAAAATAAAGTTTTAGATAGGTGTTAATAAAGTAAAGTGGCACTTAATGCTTTTTGTGTAGAAGTTCTTGGACTGTGTTCTGTATGCCTCCTCATAATATTCCTATCAAGTGGTATGATAGTTCTTCTAATTTTACAGAAGAAAATGATCAGCTAAAATTAATTATGTAATTTGCACATGCCATACAGCCAGACCCTGAGTTTCAACTCATGCCTTCAAATGAAGATTTACTTAGTTTTCTATTCTTCCTCTAAGATAGAGTTCAGAGCAAGAAATTCCAAAGCCTTGATCCTGAGGCAGGAYGGACACATGGTGGGGGTGGGAAGTGCATGGGCCTCAGAGTACCACAGACCCCAACTGTTCCCCTTGTTCTCACAACCATCAGTTGTATCCACCTGGGTGAGGGACTTCCGCTTTGTAACACTTTGCTTATCTGCCAATAGAGAATAAAGATGCCAGACTCACTTACATGGAATGTGAATGTGTAGCAAAATGTATCTTTATCAAACTGAAAATAAGTACGAGTTTATGGCCCCTTTCTCCCTTCATATGCACACAGAAGGTGGCTGAAGGCGTTGGCTCCAGCCCTGCTCACCTTATCTCTGTTCCCAGTATCCCTTGGAATGGACCTTAGCTGGCACACAGGCAAGGAGAGGCTGGAACCCATACCTGACCAAGGGCCCAGAGATGTGAACACATTTCTTGAGATCTCTTTGTACTCTCAGGGTCAACGATTCTTGAGGTCTGATTCTATGAAGATGGAACATGTATGTGGAATTTTCCACAGGAAGAGACTTGTCCTTGTGGCACATTGATTAACTACTGTGGCCCATTGTCAGTATCTTTAATTGTTACATGTTAATATTTCTTGTAAAACTTCAAAGGATATCATGTGTCATTATCCCCCAAATATTAGAGTATCAATAAGAGACATTCAGAAAAGAAAGATGAGTGTGCCCCAACAACCTAATATTTTCCGAAATTTTGCACAAAAACTTTCTTTTTATTTTTCGTAGTGTACTCTTTTTCCAAAATCTCCCACGTTGCCAATGGTGAACACCACCAAACTCCACTGATTAGTCCCTCTAATAGTCTTATTACATCCATGCATAACCTGCAATGTCTCATATGCTTCGAAAGCAGAAACTCAGATTTATCCTTAGGATTAAACTTTTGATGTCTAGGTAGTTTTTTGCCTTTGGAAATGTGGAATCACAAAGTAGATAAGAATGTCTTCTTTAAAAGTCATATTGTTGGGGTCAAAATCAGGGACTGTCACTTAATAAAAGCATAACATCAGGAAAATTACTTACATCCATACTCTCAGATCATTAGTTTGTAGATGGGAATGAAGATATTTTTTTCTTTCTCTCAGAGGTTTTTTTAAAGACTAAAATTTTACATGCAAAGCTCTCAGAATACTGTTTGGCATTTGGTTAGTAGTTAATGAATATGATCAACTATTTTTACTTAGAGACATCTTGGAGGTGAAGAAAATCTAAAACCTAGTTATCACACATGCATTTGACCCCTATTGACCTCAAATATTAAAAATGAACCTTACTTTTTGGCATTGGGAAGGTTCTAAGCAGAGGCTGTTAATGGACTTGACTTGAAAGCTGAACCTTGCTGTTGGTGTTTTGGGTAGAAGTGGTAGATGTTAGCCTTTGGGGTTTGGTGGGGGTAATGTCACTTCAGTGTAGGTCACCCAAAACAAACATCTGTGGCACCCTACCTCAAGAGGTTTCTTTTTTTTTCATGTGAAATAACAGGCACAATTAATTGTATGACTTCTCTTAGATACACTGAGGCTGCAGCTCACAAACACCTCTGCCTACTGGACCTTCCTCCTCCTGCTGCTCAAGAGTGTGGTCTACTTGGCCATCATCACCTTCCATCTGTTAAGAAGAACAGCTGTCTGCAGCAATCTGAAGAGCTCCTAACAGCAGCACAACAGGATAATGTTATGTTTTTTGTTTATTGTCCCGGAGAATGTCTGCTGAGGACCTGGCTGGGCTTGCTTGCTGAGCATGGGCTCCTTAATTTCCTGTGTATATTATTCTGTCCTCATTGCAGAAGATTTCAGATTCATCCATGAACTCAGAAACTTCATGCTGTAATAACAAAGAGCAACCTATTGTAACCCCTAGTGCCTCTGTTTCCATGTTCTCCATCAACTTCTCTAGACATCCCAAATCATGGCAACCTTGTTGGGGACAGTGCTGCTTCGAGTCACAGCCCTTAGTGCCCTTTAAGCGGAGACCATCTTTAAGATGGTCTTCCATTCTAAACACTCTAAAGCAGCTCTCTTTGCTACTTTATTCTGTACTTTTCTTTTCACAACGGATACAATAAATTTTTAAATATCAAATGTCTACATTTGTACATGCATATTTTAATTTTGATGAAAATGAATGGAAAGTCCAAGGTGAGAAACAGAGGATGACTTAGCCATGACTTCAAGCCTACGTTGTTAACAAGAGTCCAACACCACATGTCCAATTCTGCCCTTGCGATGGTGGTTATGGGGATCCTTGGGGGACTGGCTCCAAGAGAAGCCACAGCCAAATGAAAACACCCACAATACTGCTCTGAAGGTTCATAGATTCAGGTTTACTTGATTTGAGACCAATGAAAATAGGAAAATATCTAATGTGACTCACACTGTATATGCTGAGTTCTGTAACAGCTTTTTACAAGTACTATGTTTCTGGATCCTCATAATAGACCCAGGAGAGGGGCACCAACCATGGAGAGGCAGCAGAACCAGGAGACTGAGCACTTGGACTCTGTAGCCAGAGATATAGTGGGCCTAAATATCACTCCTGGGTCTGAGATTTAGCATTTGTATGAAGTCAGATACTTAAAAACTCTCTGCCATAATTTCCTCCTATAAAATGAACTTAGATGCCCTATTCCTTGGAGCTGTCTGGATTAGATATTTTAAAATTACTTGGTGCAGGAAAGTCCTCAACAGCATTGTAACGTGATGAACTCTAAAAAGAGTATGTACTCACATACATGCCAAACCACCAAGGAAGATCTCTGCTCTTACCTCTCTGCAGAGAGGATGGATGGAACCTGCTGCAGCTTCTGCCATGCACCAGGCAATCCCTGTTCCTCAAAGAGCTCTTCCAGGCAGGTGTATTTATATTCCTACAATTTACAGATTAAAAAAATTAACTTGCCACTCAAAGTCACTTTTTTTTGCTATTATGAATAAAGATAACACATCTTTTCCTGTGTTTATACTCTTTACTTTTTGCAGTATATGTTCATGCCTTTGATCTGTTTTAACTGAGTATAATAATACTGATATTTCTRTAGGCAAAGATAAAAGGAAATGTTCAGTGAATTGTAGGT